TTTCGCCCACAAGCGCTACAGCCTGCCCAGCTGCCACAGCCTCGACATTCATCTAGATCGCCTGCATGCGCAGGCGCCGCGCCTGCCGCCCGATCAGCTAGTGCGCACAGGTACAGCTGGCAGCAAGCCAAGAGCTAACCAGGCCAGGCTGTTGGCCTGGCTGGCTGGCTAACTAGCTATCGATGTTGTCAACTAGTCTAGGACAAATTGTCATTGTTGTTGTTGCTAGCACAAATTGGTGGCGTTCAGCAGCAGMAGGAGTAGCAGGAGCAGCACTTGCACTTATATATTTTATTTGACAGCTCAAGAGCGTGATGAATTTAAGGAATATAGTGTAGGTTACCCATTCGAAGTGTGTGGAAGCAGATATATGTAGCAGTTAGAAGAAATCGATCCGTTTAATTGTATATAGAATCAATACATCTCGTTTAATGTTGTCAGTGATTAGACGAGATAGTTAAGCTATCAAAAATATTCCATATTAAACGCTACATGAAAGTTAAGATCATTCAACAATTTGACAAAGTCTTTAAGCAATATTTATAGACTAACATATACCTCATATAGGTAAAAGATATCTGCATCAGTAGATATCTTCCACATTTCATATAAGTTGATGTTCTGCTGTCTAAGTCATTATTATAGAATACCGTATCGATATACAGATACAAAATATCAGTATGATTGGATATCCTGAGCATTCAATCTACAATACTACAAAGACATATAGATATTGCAGGCTATCCTTATTTCACATCACACTGTAGGGCAGACAGATAAATCAAAAACTTGCTGCTGATCGCCGCCGAATGCTTTGCTTAGTCCTCAGCAGCTGCCACGTGGCGTATACTTAATTTAAGTGCCTTCTTAGCTAACCCCATCGAATTGCATGCTAAACCAAGTTTTGCTCGTTTTATTTTGTTGCTGCATGTTTTAATTTCTGTTTGTGTCTTGTGCTTAAAGTGAAAATAATTTAACAAACATTTAAAAGAAAACAAAAATCGAAAATAGGCGTACAACCCCAAAAAATAGAAAATGCTCGCAAATGTAAATATTGTTGTTATTGTTGTGTTGTGTTTTGCCTTGCCGTGTTTTGTGTGTGTTAATCCCACTAATGGATGCTGCTATAAGCGAATTTCTGCAATTTCTAATGGCTGTTCAACCTCATTAGTGCCGGAACTGCCCAATACGGAGCCCGTCAATGCCCATTTGAATCGCGATGAACAGGCACAAAGGCCGCCATTATTCATAACGGTAAGCGAAGTCATTAACCCGGCCGCCGGGCTCTGGTCCTCTGAGCCGCCTGAGCTGTGCTGAGCTGGGACCCAGTCGCAACTAAACTAAAATCCGGCAATTCCGTTTGCAGCCCCTGAAAGATATAGCAGTGGGCGTGGGCGGCACGGCACGTTTCGAGTGCATTGTGCAGGCGCATCCGCAGCCGCAGGTCAACTGGACGCACAACGGCGGCCATTTGGAGCAGGGCAGCCGGCATATCATTGAGTACCGGAACGGTGTGTGCCGCCTAACACTGCCGCAGGCCTATCCGGGTAAGTTGCCAGCCATTTGCAATTCGACTGTCGGCCGAGCTCATTAATCGCTGAACCTCTCCTATCTACCTGCTGTCGCCTCCGCCTCCGCCTCCACCACGACAACTTTTTTGATTCATTGCAGACGACAACGGGAGCTACGTTTGCAGCGCCAGCAATGCGTTGGGTGCGGCCAGCACCAGCGGAACTCTGACCGTTTCGAGCACAAATCGCGGATTTAGATACTAAGATAAACATTTAAATGAGAGATTTATTACTTTATACATATATATTTATTTATGATTTGTTCATGCCAAAGTTTTACATTTTATTGTGTGTGCGTGTCCCTAATTTTGTTACTTGATTTCGAGTCCTGCGATCGAATGGATCCCAATTTATAGCCCCCCAGTGCAGTCATGCCGAGGGTGCATAGTATTACTTGTGTTTTTGTCGAAAATTCAAATAAATCAACTGAAAACGAAATCGCAATTCTGTTTTATTTTAAGTCTTTCGAGTCATGCGCGCTGATCTCTTGCTTTTCGAACACGCGCCAAAAGCGATCTGCGTTGGCGCCCTCTATGGGGAAATGTGGGCAGCCAGTTCGAAAAAGCTGTGCGGCATGCTCGAAAGCTTTCGAAATGGAATCAGGCACTAGATGGCGCTAGCCGATCGTTGATCTGCAATTCGGGAAGATTATTTTTGATTTATGTGCACCAGATGGATAAATAATACGAATTTTTCGCTTACAGGAAATCATCTTTCAAAATTTATGTTTATATAATTGAGGCTCAAGGTCTGCAAAACAAAGTGTGCGCCATTAATATTTAAGTGCAAATGCCAAGACTAAGTTAATCACATATGAAATTAAAAATATGCATACTATGTATGTATATATATTATTATTTTAT